GCGGCGGCGTCCCCAGCGACACCCTCCGCGGTCCTGAGCACTGCAGAGTCGCCCCCAAAGAGATCTGCCTGGCCGCCAGCACTGAACAGGTCTCCGCCGATCTGCCCTTGTTGCTGGCCATCGCCACCGCTCACATTAGCGGCAACGTTTGCGGTACTCTGCTCGAAGAGACCGAAAGCGGCTGCGTTTGACTGCGTTGACTGGGAACCAAGGGAAGGGAAGTCGGACATAAAAGGATTTGGTACGGATCCGGCCGTTCCTGGAGCACCAGCTTGCGCAGAAATCAAGGTGCATCGATTATTAGCGTTTTCACTTTCTCAATGCGGGGTTAATTGCATATTACTCGCGAGGGTCTGATATGCTTTCTGACTACATTACTTGTCGTGCCTTGTCCTAACACGTGCACGCTGCATTGAAGATGACTGTACACGTGCCTGACAATAAAGTTCTTGAATCGGGCCGATTAATAGAATACTCTGATATATTTCTCAATGAAAGCTTGTTGAATTTTGTATGAAAAGGTAAACTTTATTGTTACATCATGTAGTCTATGGATCTGTAGTAAGAAGCATGGTCGTTATTCGCATATGAAGATCACGATAAGCACAATTTTGATGAATTTCTGATTTTAATGCCACTTTATGATCAAACAAGAGAATTAATGTAAAAAAACAATCTGTTAGTTTCAAAGATGTTAATCCTTTAAAAGTATCTAATAAGTTGACAAAGTTAAGTTGAGAGTTAAAAATTGTAATTATTAAGAGAAGCAACATTTTCATATCTGCAATATTTTTATGTTATAATGAGGAGTATTTCGAAAATTTTGAAAGGAATGAAAAACACATACTTAACTCCAGAACCAAATGAAAAGACAATTTTGGTAATATGAAAGTATACTAAATGTTAAAACTGCTTTCCTGTAAAAAGCAGGAATGTGATTTATTGTACTCCTTCTCCATAGTTTTCATATTCTTTAAATAACAATGCCTCTTATTACATTAGCAATACTATGATACTTGAGAGGTTAACCCCAAAGGTTTTTAAAAAATTCATTTTCATCACAAAATAAAAACTACTCACTGTATCCAAAGATTCAATTTAATCGAATTGTTCTTGGCATATTGCTACAACCTTCTTTTAGGATTAACTTGCCCAGGCATCGTCAATGAATCTAAACGATTTAGTAAGATGCAAACGTATGATACAAAATCTGAAGCAAGAAATCTTTCACCATAAAAAGAGATGAATATATACATGTACAGTGTGAATGTGAAAGAAAGAAGATACAGTGCATTTAACTTGACAAGTGAGAGATTAAAAATCTTTATCTCGTAAACCAGCGAGATAGGTCGAATCAAGTACTCACCAGATTTCGAGTCTTGATTACCAAATACGGAAGAGAAACTGTTATCTGTAACAAAGTTATTATTTGCTGGGGGCACTGCGGCGAAACCTACAAATCAAAAAATAAAAACAGACCGATGAAATAACATAAAGAACATAATCATCGTACAATAATCGCCAAATAAAAATGTACAGTGATAATAAATAAAAGAGAATAAAAGGTTTAGTATCGTTTTTGTGCTATTATAAGATACGATAATAACATAATTAATTAAATTACATAAAATAAAATACTCATATTTACCGTTACCGTTAGTCATCCACATATTGTTCTGCGTTTGTGTGGTCGATGCAGTTGCAGGCTGTGGCGCTCCGAACATATCCGCGAAAGGATTCCCTGCTAATTGGAGCAAATCGTCTGACGCTTTTTGCGGCTGAAAACAAGAAAATGCAATTTATAAAGAAATTACCATGGAGGCAAAGGACATTATGTATTCTAAAAAGAGGAAAGTTCCTAGTTACCTGACTTTCAGCTGTCGTTGTCGTTGATGGTGAACTGAATAGATCTACTATTGGTTGATTAGCGTTGTTGGTCGGTGAACTGAGGAATGGATTCGTACTAGGTCCGCTCGATGGGGATTGCACTTTCGCCTAGAATAAGGGAATCGGGTCAGCTATGGAACCAATAGTTTTTTATAATAACTGAGACCCTTAATCTTACAATCTAACTACAATAAATGAAGACCACATGGAAAAATATGGTAAATCCATATAAGATTGTTGGTTTTTATGACTTTTATGACACTTGGTAGTTAAAAAGAAGTATTTTAATATGAAATAACCGAAGAAGAGAATAACACGATAGATCCAAAAGTATAAGCTTTTCGAAAATCGATAATAAATCCTTAATGTTTTATAAGAAACGAATAATATTAATATAATTGTTATCTTAGCTTAACTTAATTAATATTAAGCGGCATAATTAATATCTTCAATATCTTTGAAATGTTCAAGAGGATTATCAAATGAAAAGGTAGTTTTGACGTGGAATTGGTTGACAACGTATTGAATTATAAAATTGCTCTTCTATAAAAGACAGGAAATGTGGCTTATCACGTGTTTCACATGTGGTCTTCAAATAAAAAATCTTTCAGTACCTTGTACTGATTCATAGCAGCCTCCTCTTCCGCGAGGGCTTGCTGCCGCAGTGCTTCATCGATATGTCCATTTCCGGCGTGGTCGAGGCGATTATTACTGGCTGCTGTTCCAAACGCAGTACTGGTGGAAGACAGGGCGGACACTCCCGACTTTACATTCGTTCTATTGCTGCTCGGGTAATGATTGGGCGATGGATGTGTGTCGATGGAGTGGTGTGGATTCACACAGGAGGAAAAAAGGAAGAAAAGCCATTTTCAGCAGCGAAGATAAGTGTGGCCGTAGGAGCGAAAAAGGAGCGAAAAAGGAGCGAAAAGGAACGTTGATCATTGAAAACAAAGGAGAAGACAAAGAAAAAAAAAGAAACAGTGTAGTACGTATAAAGATAACAACGATGTGTAAAAAATTCAGCTACTCAGTGCTCTTTCACTCAAACGTACATACAGATATGCTCCATAAATATATAATTATTGTACATGCGTAACGCTAACTTTCCTTCTTTTATCCACAGATATTAATGTGTTCTTTTTATACATATATATCTTTCACTACATACGTTTTCAAATGAACTCACACAAGCAATTAAGTTGAGTAATACTACCTAACATGTCTTACAATAGAAACGAAAAAGAAGGAAGGGAAAAGAAAAAAAAGACACACACGCACACACTTTCTCGTTTGCTACTGCTACGGTACGCACGCTTATATACAGACGACATATGTGCAAGAAAATATCACCTAGCTTTTCATTTTATATTCAAAATTGGCTATTTTATTGTTTAAAGAATGTGTTAATTGGAAATAAATGTTGATTATAAAGGTTGTTACTGCTGTACGAACTTTGGTAGCTCATTACACAGAAAACATAATAAATAGTCTCCGAATAAATGATCCAAAAACTGATCTATTTATGATCGGTTAATCAGGATAGAAATCTTAATAAAAAATGCGATCATTTATCTGGAAAATACCGTATCTTAATTTTATATTGAAAACGAGATTTAAAATATTATTAAGCGCTCTCGCCGCAAGTGATTAAAAATTATATATATATCACCGAGATGGTGATCACACCGTGAATCAACAGAAACATAGATAATCGTGCAATAATCGGCGATAAACTATTTTAAAAAATGCCTGTGATAAAATGTAATCTCTTAAGCAATAAGCTAAGTGAAATTTCCGTAGAAGACTTGGAACAAAATTTCTAGAAATCATAAGAAGCAATAACAAACTGATCTGATACCAAACATAGTTGACACTATAGCCCGCAAAACAGAAGACAATGAAGAACGAAGGAAACGAAGGAAAGAAGTAAAGAATCTCCTGAACGAAAAAAGAAGCGCACGTTCTCAAGCAATAGAAAAGAAACGCCAACATTACCTTTTACCCTACAATTTACAAAACATTTTGCGAGGAGAGTAATATGATTAACGATTGGATGATAAATGGGATTTGCATCTTTGCGTTGAATTTGCAATAGAATAGTAATAAAGGAAATAGTCTGATAGGATTCGATGCCTAAATATGCGATATTGTGTTTCTTGAACCATGATAATTCTATAGAAAATATTGTTTTCCAAGTGAAAATACCTTATTCGTAGCATTTGTATACAATATGCGTATCTTGTATAACATTTTGTTAACAGACAAATCGCAAAATATTCCTTAGAATTAGTGAATTTAATCCTACTTTGAACGTTAACATAGGTTTTATATGTTTGTACGAATTATAATTAACACACCTTGCAGACTGTGTTGGAGTGTTTGCTGCAGATCCCTTCTTTCCTTCCAAGGAGGCAAGATGTTGCTCTAACGCATCCAGTAAGCTACTAGGAGCCTAAGAAATGTCCATTTTCAAAATTTCACAAATATACTTTCTTATAGAACTCAACTTTACGCTATTTAAGTCCAATTGAGATATATTTCTTACCTTTGTTAGATCAGGTATGTCTCCTTTATCAATGCCAACGTTCTAAGGAGAAGCACAAAAATTAATCTCAACAAATTTTTGGAGCGTAATTATGCGATTCATACGTAAAAGCTAATTCAACTTACCTCGGCAACCTTTAAAAATTCACCCACCCGATCCATTCGTATGAGGAACTTTTTGTACAAGTCCAGAGCTTCGCGACATTGCTTTTTATTCATATCAAAATACTTTTCTAAAATTAGGACCAACAATTAAGTATTTCTCTCAAAAGATGACATAGAAAACATTAAATTGTAAGTATACTACCTAGTAAGTTAATAATGCCATCATTGTAACAGGCAAACAATCTAATCAGATCCCGGAAAAGGAGCATGAAAGCCATGTTTATGACACCGTTGGTGAGATCATTAGCGGTGCAATCGAACTCCAATAGAGCATCCAACTGTGACTGCAAAACTGGCAAGGTTTTTAACAGTTTTTCAGCGTTCATTGTGCGCAAAGTACGGTCGTCCTTCCTAAAACACAAATTTAAAATAAATCATTTGCTACAAGTACAAGTAGCTTTCTTTCATTTTTATTAATCAAAGTTGATCGCTTACCCTCTTTTCACCTTGCAAAAGTCAAACGCTACGGTCCTGTAAGAAAGAGCCTTCTCATTGAGGTACTTCGCGTATCTCCTAATAAATGGTGACATGTCATAGCCTAATGACAGAAAAAAGACCAGTTTAGAAGATAAATTTATCCTTTGTGCATATTGTTATACAAGAATCCAAAGAAATCTCAGGATATAGTTAATAAAACAAATAAACATCCAGTCTTTTCCCAAAGGAGGTAAGATGAACTGAAAATTGAAATTGTGCAAGTGCAAAAATTTGAGTACATGCAAATGAAAGCGGGCATAGACTTTGTTAGAATTATCGATCTTGACACGCTTTCAGTCTGTAACGTGAAAAATGTGTGCGACACGCAAATTATAAACACATTCATCTTCACCTCCTACATGAAACCTGAACGCATATTTCAGCAGAAATGTGCAATGATGTCAATTTAATTAGTGCTAGAAATCACAAGTAGAATGTTGATTTCCTCAGGGAATTTATTGCATGATACTTAATCACACAACTGGCGTCATAAATTTTAAATAATGGTCTGGAATACGGAAGATACAATTTTTCAATTTCCTGTTGTACAGTTTAACATCATCAATAAATAGTAACTAGGAATTAGACTAATTGTTAATTTTATTCAGGATTCAAATTTGGTCAGAATTCCTTTATTATCCAATTTGTTTGTGAAGTGTTAAACAGAATATTAAGTTATCGTTAGGGATAGTAATACAGAAAGAACATTCACAGAGAAAGGAAATTGAAAGATATTTTAACTCACCAATACGAGCTCCTGCTGTGCCCAAATAGAGAGAAAATTAGTTCCAGGTTAGTAAATCATAGATGGATGCCAGATACGCATACATAGCTGCATAATGGTAGGAAGTTAGCCAGGAAGAACTTATTATTAAATTGTTGATTCCAGAATAAAGGCGATGGTATTGTTAGAAACAGTTATACCTTAACTATATGTATACATATAACTAGTTATTCGATTTTGACAATATCTTGATATTAATTATGTTAATACTTTAGCTGCAAATTAGCTTTCACATTTTTAATCCTTTTGAAGGAGTGAAAAAATCTTTTATTATGTTTTAAAATAAAATATTGCAATTAAGGTGTTGAATCGCTAAAGTTTATGAGACTATTTTTATGTGCGAATGTGCTCGCGTGCATGCTGCATTCGGATGTATCCTTTTTACTTCTTGGTAAAGTTGTTAATAGATTATACACTATACAGATTGTATAAGACGAAAGCAACAACAAAAATAATTTCATGCTACCTGGATAATGGTTCAATTAAATCACTGTCTAACGCGATTTTAATTTATCAAATTAATCCCCTGCAATTTTGAAGTAAACCATACAATTATCAATTAATTAAATTCACTCGTTAATAGCTGTTTTAGCGATTATCATTCGGTTAATGTATATAGCTAAAATCCAATTCAATTAAAAATTTCTCTAAAATATCTGGAATTCGAATAATTCTCCCATAATTTTTTACATCTCATCATTCTTGTATTAACATAATTCAAAAATTTTATTTCACAGCTTTTGCAAACTTCCATTTAATTCTTATTCGTTACTTTATTAATATTCATACTTTATACTGCAACGTCTTTTTTCAAGAGATTTGACCGTTTTAAATAAAATACTACAATTTATTTAAAATCACTGTCAAGATAAAAAGAATAAGGAGCAATGAACATTGATAGGGAGATGACCGGAATCGACCATCTAATTGAACCACTCGGCAGAAGTTAATGCAAGAAGATTCTTTTAAACATTGTGGTCACCTTGAACGCCGCTTTTATCGAGAAAATTACTGAGTTGAAACGTGCTGTTACTGGACGCCAGATACTGTGTAAACCTCTGCAACAGAAAGGTCATTGCACTTGTAAGTTTTTTTTTTTAGGATCACCTGATATATATACATATATATATATATTTTTTTTTTGTTATATACACTTTGTTCATCTCTTAACAATATACATAAGTTAAAGTAACCAACTAATTTTATTTCAAAAGAGACACGCAATTTTTATAATTCCTTATATCTAATAATTTCTAAGAAAATTATTAAAATAATAGAAATAATTAAAAAATTGATTAAATATATCCTATTAAAGTTCCATGACGAATTATGGCGAACAATGTACGCAATATTTTAAAACAGATCGTTGCTCGCATTACTAGCATTATTGTCGCCGTTGTGGCTCTGTCCAAGGAAATGACTATGTTACAGTTGCTGTTCTATTGAATTGCATGTGCAAACCGTAAATGTTAGACTCTGGTCACGGACTCATGCTATTCGACCCCGTGCACATTCACGCACAGGCGACTGGCAAGGGCGACGACACTTCCCCTCTTCAACTCATTACTGAACCAAAATGAGTTAGACAACCTCTCGACAAATGTAAATAATACTCCAAACATTCTATTTCATGTTGTCAATTAAAAATTCCATGCCAACAGTTCTTGCCAATTTAGCCTTAAAAATTGCAAACAATATTATGTTTATGTTAAGTATATTAAATACATAAATACATTTAATAGGTTATTGGGACGTTAAAAGCTAAGTGACTTTAAACATTTATTCAATTTATCAGAGTATAAGATATTGTCATAAATTCAGTGAACTTTAAGAATAAGATAAAGCATAATATTCAAGTAACAGAAAATCATCATAATGGAGAGCCAATTAAAAAGGATATGGAAGTACAATTGTATCTCGTGTTTTACAATTAAGTAATCAGATATTCGCTACCATATCGTTCCTAAATTGGCATTTATCAAGAGGCAAAGGGAAAGAAAGTTCGTCTGATTGCTTTTGAGAAGTCACTTTATCGAGAGAGCCACTCATGGGTACTCCTGAATCCTGTTCTGCATTGCAGATACGGGGGCCTTTACCTCATTGCCGTAACAAAGCATATGGTGCACCGTGATCAGAGCTTTAAAAACGACCGTCCAGTTCGTGTTCTGCGACCGTTCTATCAACAGATTCGCCAGTTGAGGTATCGACACGTTGGGTTCGTTCGTGCACCGCACCAAGTCTGAAACAGACAATAACGAGTCTCCAATTATTTACAGTCACGAATTTCTTTCTTCTTTTCTAGTAAGATTACTTTCTCTACTTTTAATACTTATTCAAAATACATTAGTATTAATTATAATAATATATATTTACAATAATGTATCACAGTAATTTATTGTACAGTATATTCTACGTGAAAAGATAAGGCAAAAATATTTTTTCGTACAACGCTTCATTTTTGAGAAAATTGAACTTATACAGATAAAAAGATCGACTGCCTTTTTTCTTTTCTGTTTTTAGTTTAGCTCAATGAGGATAATTTCTTCTTCGTGTTAGAAGTAGACACAGTATATGCACACCATAGTAAAGTTGCGTAAGATAGAAAAGATGACGTGACAAAGAATCTTCATAAATAGTAAACCAAGGATTTTCTTTTACTTCTCCCCTGAGAGGACGACCACCCATAAGCTTTCTCATTGTTCTCGGGACTAGTAGCAATTAAAAGAAGACCAAGATTAGTCATTATCTCTTCCAAGCCGTTTCCAGTGAAACCATCAAGGGCTATCTACCATCTCGACAGAGTACTATAGTTTCTTTCTCATCCCGACAGGTTACGCTATTGATCGAACCGTTGTTTTCTACCATAGCAGATGAAAAATCTCGTGGTCTGAGAAACTGACCTTCAAACGAAAGAGACACTTATTCTATTTTACTTTGCCCATATATATATATATATATATATAGGATCTGTGTAAAGAAACACGGAACAGAGCATAGAACTAGTTTTCCGCGAATGATTCATGGCTTCCAACCGCGTCTCCCCGTCCCATTCATTCTCTAAACACGGAATGGAACGATCCGTTTATTTGAACTGAAATATCTTTCTTAGAAGACGCCGTTCCACCACTTGGTATGGAAGCAAAGGGATCTAAAATTAAAACACTGCGTCCGTATCGGCAAGAACGCATTTTATGATGGTTTCCAATGGCACAATAACAATTAGAAGGTATAAGAAAGAAGGTATAGTGGCCGACAAAGGGCTATAGATCGCCAAGCGGTTTTGCAACCGACTTCTAAGAATATCGAGCACACCACGTGCGTTCCTTCCTTCCCTCATCGAAATCTTCCGCTTCGATTACTTTCTGTTTTCTCCGGCGTTGTAAAAGGTCTTCGAACGTCTTACACAACTTTTATCATTGTTTAGATTAGATTTTATGTAATCTGAGAGCGCAGAAGTGCTGGACGTGATCTTTCGCGTGAAATTCTTTGTTTGTTTTCAACGAATAAAAGTCCATCGTAGCCGTTGCCAAAACGGAAAGCATGTCTCGGCAAGTGCCCGACCTTGTCACGCTTCTTCTTTTCTAATAATGTACTCTCGAATACAGACCGCAAGCCGTCTCCATTGAGTAGTGCTCTTTGCTATTTATAAAAGGCACAAACCACGCAGTTTAGTGTTTACTGTTTGCATTCTGCCAGTGGTGTAACAAGTGCAACCGACGCCATTCGTCTATATGTATTGTACATGTAACAATCTGGTAGGCAGGCTAAGGAGTATAAGTGAGATCTTCGACACGATAAATGCGCTAATATTCTCTACACTGCAGTCTTTTCCTTATGATTCTAACAGTGCAAATCAATTTTATTTCTTCCTTGCCTTTTACCTAAGATTCTAATAGTATATCCAAATTCTGACATCTGATCTTACATTGCACTTTAAAATGTTTTATGTAGAATATTAAAATATTATAAAATATTTTAAAGAATATTCTTCTTCTAGTAGTAATATTATAGAATATTATGATCCATTTTGTTCTATTGGAATAATAAAATTCAATAAAATAATATAAACAAAGAATGTTATGCATTTATTATTTTCTTAGAAAACGAAAGAAACCTTTGGGACAACTTGATATAATATTTACTATAAACTACGAATTCTTATGTATATATAATATTTAGTAAGTACACCACCCTTACTTGTTTTTATAAAAATACGAATTTGCAGAAATATAATATAATTCTTCTCACTTATACCCTCTCCCAGAAAGTAGTCAAAATATAGGTTAGGAATCTTCGAATTGAATTAGAAAGGAAACAGGTGGCTCCCTAAAATAGAAATCATGTTAGAGGAATAGTTACAAATTCAATTTGAATGGATTTAGCAAAACGCGAGAAGATTAAAGGAAAGAGGAAACAAGACTTATCGTTGTCCAAGGTTTTGAAGAGGCACCGCTACCTACTTGCGATATCAGGTTCCACGACTGTTTATCTGTTCTCTACAAACCAGGAAAAAAGCTACACTTGAGCTAACCAATATGTAAGGCAAATACAGAATAGAAGTTATGAAATTCTTCCTAATTCTTCTCAATTAAGTCCTATGGTTGACAAAATTCTTTTAAATTTGTTCAGAAGTATTTCCAAAGACACCTGTTTAAGTATAAACAGTATAAAGGTTGTCCAAAAGTTCGTTAATTTCTATTATAGATTTTTATCAAATAATAAAACATTCAAATATACGAATACTATCCTTAGAGAATCAAACTGAAAATTTGTTAATAAAATAGGTCTCTTTTCTTCAATGAGATGAACACTTAACCTCGTACATCCAGGAAATTTTGAGTCATGGAATGTTCACTTCCATTTCTATTTATCTCGAGTTACTGAACATAGCGCAATTTCAACGTTATTTGTTCTAGTCTTTATAAAACTTATTCAGAAGACACAAACAAGAAATGAAATACTTTAGAAGCTTGTAAAAGCTATTTGAAAGAATTAATTTTTGATAAAAGATGAGAAATTTTTGTAGGAGAGACTGACGAAGTTACAGATGGCAAAAATTCAAATTCTCGATGGATCTTTCCTAAATTTCGCTAAGAATTTTCTTAATATAATATGCTTAGCACGTTTTAAGTTACCAAAATAGCATCTACAAGTATCTTGCAATTGCCTAGGAAGGAAAGCTTGCCATGTATGCACAGCCTCGAATAAAAATCGATAGAAAGAGACCCATTCCGCCTCTTGTTTTCGAACTGACTTTATAAATAAACAACGAGAAGCACATTGTGGCGGGTATCGTTGATGGACAACATGTTTATAGCCGTTGGAACAGAGGGAACTTGATGAATCGAACAGTTGTTGAGAAGAACGGGAGATTGGTCGTTAAATGTAGCGAAGAACGCAATCATTATCGGAATTTATCTGGAAGTTGAAGGGGTGTGCATGCTGAGATGTTTCTCCCGAGAGTCCAGACTCGAATGGGGGGCGTCACCGATAACATGTTTTGGTAAGACGATAGCTGCAACAAGCGAGGATTATCAAAATGAACAAACTTTCATATATTGCAAAATAGGAACATCTGGTTACCTCGACCTTGCATCATTCTATTTCTCGCATTTCGTTGTACAAACTTTCTGTCGGCTCCTGATGCGTTTCATATTTCCAACGACGATGCAAATACATATTTTGGATAATCTAGTCCACAGTTGGAGAATAAAAATAGAAGATTAGTAGGCTGGTTCATATGAAGTATGAAACATTTTGAAATTTTGGTAGTGTTCTAATGATGATTATGATGATTCGATTATGATGATCGTTAGGCTGACGGATATTTATGCAAATTTTCATGATGACAAATGAAAAAATGGAACCTAAACAGAGATTTCCATTACTTATTAAATATCATAATGAGTACTATGGATATTCTATATCTGTGGCTTGTTGCAAGAAGTACCAACGTCAGTATTTATGAAGTTAAGATATTAACACTTAAACATACGTTAAAAAATTCATGTTCAAATAACATCCGACAGAAAAGTTTCTGCTGTTTCAAATTTCTTTTCTAATACAAAAACAGACAATTTTAAAGCTTATGCTATTCGTGTTTTTTTATGTTGACTTTGGTATTTTTAGCAGATAGCTTATTTTATGAAAAATTTTCAACAAATGCCATTATAGTGATTTCTAGATAGAATTTGAAACTGTCGGTTTTTTTATATAAAATATAATCGCTTAGAAGCTCAATACCGGGCTTAACTCAATTTTGCAAAAATACGACAATGCCACTTCTTGCATCAAGCACACGATACATTTGTACATATTACGCGATTTCTGTGTATTCCTGTGCTTCCAGATATTCCAGATAATAGGATAAAAATCCACGTTAGTAGTAACAACGTATTTCTTCAGTTTTATTCATCAATTTATAAATCCCACATAATCGGAAAGAAAATTCCAGTGGTTTCCATTTATATATATCTCTTATCCTTTCGCCGTCTTGCTATAATTAGAAAGTATAGTACAATCTTGTTTCCAGGAACGTCGGTGATCGTTTCTGCAATAAAATTCGAACGATAATTTGTATTCTATTTATACGAAATATTTTTGATAAAAGTTACTTTAGAAAGGGTGATCTTCCATAATTTTAATAATCACGCTGCCAGGAATTACGTAGATAACGGCGACAGTAGTGCAGTCCAATCCAATCACGACATCTAGCGTATAATTGCAGGAATTCGAAATGGAACTGTCCGAAGGACAATGATTATTATCCAAGGAGGAAAAGGAGCGTGCGAAGAGACACAGGAAATATCGATGGTAGGTATCTTCGAGACTGTTGGTCGTACAATGCCCGCGAGCAAATTACACTTTACAGATAAATTATACGACTTGACGTGTCTTCGAATAGATTATCATAGGCACTTTCCATTGCTGCACGTTTACGTGTCGAATTAAGAGAATTACGTAAACTGTCTTTACCATAATGAATGATTTTATCCCGAGTGAATGAACAGCAATTTATCGGAAAATTCGTTTTTAAGGATAAAAGTAATCTCAAATTAAATTCCCTATAAACGTATAAAAATCCCCAGTTTAGTGACAAGCAAGAAGCCCCACGAATGGTGCGAATCACCTTAATTTCTCGTTTCTCAATTTCTGAATGACGGTATGATTAACGACGAGCACGATAGCGACCACGGGGATCTCCGTAAATATCTATTCATCACGTTGAAATTACGTAAGAAGCTTCTATTAACAAATTGCATAAATCATGACGTAATAATTAAGATCCCCCTTTCTCCCTAGGAAAAAGCAGGCTGAGCCGTTGATAATCGACTTTTCTTGAGGGAAGGCGAGGTTAGCTATAATCAGGAAAAGAAATCATGCCAGTAATTGCATTACTGGTTTACTACGGCAAAATAATGTTCATCGCCAAGAGAAAATTTGTTATTCTTATACGTATTACTTTTGATTTTAATTTTATTATCTAAGATGTTTTTTTGGTTAGCTATGGACAGGGATCCAGATTGTGCAACTTGTGAAAGAACGATGATTGATAATTATGCGGTTTATGTAGACTTTCCCTAATTTTCACTATGTAATTCTCTCTTTTTTTTTTTAAGCTTTCTCTTATCATCAAAATACGAAATTTCAATGAGTAGGGAGCTCGAGAAATGAACCTACGTTTTATTATTTTATTCAGGAAGAGTCAAATTTTAAAATTTCTTCCATATTTCGTCAAACTAAATAAAGATGTATTTTAGATCTACTTATGCTAGTTTTTAAGTTTAATTCACATAATGTTTAACGTTTACCAAAGAAGGTTGGGTTAAGTTTTAGTAAATTTATTTAAACGCGCATTTGAATGAACGAAAGTATGTAACCTCGTTACGTTTAAAGAATAGTTGGCCCAAATCTAACCTAATCTAACGCAACATAATCTGACCTAACCTAACATGACCTAATTTTTTTTTTTTATAAATTCCGACCATTAAATAGTTAAAAATAATAAAGCAAAAGAACATAAATTTAAAATCATTTTTCTTATTTCATCAAAAAAGAGTTTGATGTAGCGAAAATTGGAAGAAGTTACTGAATTGCATAACTATAAATTATTTAATATCTAAAATGCAAATATAATCTTGCAGTACAAATTTAATTTCCTTTATTTCAATTCTTCTTGTTGCGTATAAATTTTTTAAACTACCTGGTTTAATAACTCTTTAAACTGGCATGCACGAAAGACTAACCGATCAATCAATTTCAAACAAAGCCCATTCACTTCATTACAAATCTCTCCAAGGAACGAACATCAAATTTCTCTTTGTTTGTTCATTATAATATTTTCTTAACTCAATTTGTCTGTCCCGATCAAAATAAATTTTTCTTTCGAACGTTAGAACTTTCCAATTTTTCATTTTTCTCTTTCGATAATAGCTTCAATCCCAGCGTAAACCATCGAACTTTAAGAAAATTTCTCCTTCGCGTTCTGACGACTGCGACAGACGCTGTACCGCACGTCAATAATGATTGTCGAATATGACCGCAGAACTTGTATAATATACGATAAACTACAAGAAGAACTGAAATAAAAAAGATACATTTATACTTCAAGACTATCCATTTACATCTCAGAAAGATCTAACCCCATATAACCAATAATTAGCGTAAAAAGAAGTTCATAAAGAATACTTGCTTTTATTGTTGCTATACCAGAATCTCTCCGCCCCTGAATCAATAGTTATAAACGACATACGAGGACCAGGAAGAATCGAATCGAATCGAATCGATCGTAGAACCGAGAAGATGTAGATAGTCGACTAGACGGTACTTCGCACATGCCCACTAGCAATGCATGCTGGGTAGCTTTCGTTCGAGATTCCGTCTATCGATCGGCCGTACACTCGATTACCAGCCGATGACCTCGCGATCGTTCTGATTGCATGCCCATTCGGAGGCCACGGATGATCAGTTGTCGTGCTAAAGATAGCACCATTCTACGTACTGTCGATGAAATTTGCCATCAAGAGACACGAAATATGCACACATTTTTGCTCTCTCTTTTTATCGGAAACCTTTCACCAGTAAAATATCAACAATCATAGTAATAATTTATCGTTTGTAATCGAGATATTCCTGGATCGTCAAAAGTTCGATACTGTCTCATGAAATACTTTTTAAATATACAAGTGGTAAATATACAAGCTTGTTCACCCCCCTCACTATCAAGTTCTCACGCATGTTCACATCTAAATTTAGTATCATCGAATGTTACGACTATAATTAAAGACAACAAAAAATCTACTATTGCGACGGCGTTAATATTGTACGTGTTTGGTCATTTAAATTTTTCACAAATGCATAATCGCCCAGAGTTTAATAATAGGTTATGAAACGAAGAAAAAAGTGAATTTCTAGTTTTATTGTTGAGAGCAGTTGTTCATGGAAATTTTTCCGAGAGAAAGGACGAATTCGAGCCTGCTGAAGGTTTAGTCGACAGGAATTCGTTTCGCTATCTAAATTAGCAGACCGGAAGAAAGACTGCGAGTTCCGTTCCGTTAAAACGGAAACGCGCTCTTACTACTAACGAAATATAATGTTAATGTTTTCGCTCACCAGGGGTTAGCTGAAACGAATGCTACTACGTAAAATAATAAAACGAACATTAACTTTACAATGCGTTAAAATTAGACAAAGTATCACAAAATCATTCATAGTGCATCGTGATCCAAGAGAATTGAAAAATTAAATTTCAAAAATGCCAATTATTCTCCAAAATAGTGTGTCATTTGATTTCCTTTGCTGTCTCGAATTCTCTTGAGTAATTTCTGTTCTACAAAAGTGGTTTCTTCACTAAGAGTGACTCGTGCTTTTCAATTTCTTTCCTCTTTTTATACGTTTTAAATGATATCGCACAAACGTATTTAATAACTAGACTGCGGATGTCTATGCAGTTTTACATTTTTACGAATATGCCTACAGAAATAGATTCTAAATGGAGATTTGTTTCGTTTATTAAGCATTAAAATAAGTATTTTGCTTTAGGTATGTAAAATAAAAATTAGGAATTAAAAAATTAGATTTCCCAAAAATGCATAAAAGTCTGTGGTGTATTAATAACCTATAAATTAGGTTCCAAATTTATTGCAACAACATATTCAGTGGTCATTACCTATATGTATAAATAAATATGTGTACACGTACATAATTTCTTAATTAACCAAAAAACCATTATGTATTTGAAACGTTTCTTATTTTCTATGTCATAAAGACAAAATGACCATTAAAAAAAAACAGGCAACAAATTACGTTATATTAACGAAACATGATGCAATGGTTATGAAATATATATATATATTTCGTATATATATATCCCGAGAACTTCTTTCTATATTTCTTCCTTTTCTTAATTCGGCTGAATCAATTAGAAATAATTCGATACGATTGAAAAGTGCAAAGACCCTACGTCACGGTCTCCGACGAGGGTGGGCTTTCAAATTGGAACAGATACAGGTCACACCACCTACACATATATCTACAAACCTTGATGCAACCCATGCGACAGTAGAATCGATAATCACGAGGAACTGGTGTGGTTTCCTATCGTTTCACGTATAAAATTGCGTATTTTCCTGTCGATAACCAAACTTTTACACAATCGGTAACTGTCCAACTCTAATTAATGGAAGGAACGCGACATAACGCAGGTTATAAACATTCACGTCACCCTTAGTCATCTACGTCATCCTTAATATTAAAATATTCCACAGGCCATTTTCGTATTCCACTATTATTTATAATCTAGAATGCATATTCATAACCTAAAACAATCAGCATACACTGGCTCACGAAGATATTCCAACACTTATACAAATCCTTTATGAATATATCATGTGTGTTATACAAGACATTTTCAAATTCCATTAATACTGTAATGAGATCGATCCTTACGATTATATTGGTAAAGTTTTAAACGAATCTGACAATGCACATATTAAGTTAGGTTTACTTAAGTTTTTCTCATATGGTACTGAAACCTCACGTTATATACATATGTATCTAATCGAACCAATTTTCTCATAATTCAAAACTCTTTCCTAATAACTGTTTAGTTTCATTGTTCGAGAATTGTATCAATTCTAAAATTCAATAACAGGACTGTTATACATAGTTTCTTCAGTTAAAGTTTGTTCTAAAATAATTATTACGTTAGAAGATTATTTAAATGTAATACAGAAAATCTCTGCCTCTACCAAATGCTAAATTCCTTTCCAGCAATTTTTATTTGAATGTATATAAGTTTTTCATACTAAGTACGGGAAATACTTTCGTAAGCAAACTGTATATTCTGTTAAAGTCGGTAGTCGAAATTAGAACGATTTATGTATCAACAAAGAAAAAAAAGTGATTTTAGCACGAAATTTGAATTCTATCGTATCATTGTTTAATAACATTGTAAATGTAACAGAGGTTATAAAAGGGCAAGAAATGTATTTATCGATACGATTGATAGGCATAGAAACATAATAAAGTTCCCATTCCCGGCAACATTCGAAGAACGTTATGTCACTAACAAGCTTCGACTTCATGGCAACATTCATAAACCGATAATATCGTAACAACAACTTCACGCAGGAAGCGGCGGAAACTACTTTCGCACGAAACATCTGTTATCAGTAGGATCCAGCGTTCAAAAACTTTCACCATTACTTAACTAGAAATCTCGATCAATTCCCTTCGAATATTTTGCAACGATATGTACATATATTGGTTTTCATGTAACGATCGACTAAAACCAATTTAAACCTAGTATGTAGATATATGAACTCTATATTGTTTCTGAACTATAGAGGTTATGTTGTTAAAAAGGCCTTTTATATCGTTAATTCCATGTTATTAAAAAGAATTCTCCATAAATTTTGCAAATTTTTGTTAATACAAACATTTCACGGTTATAGATGGCACTTATTCCTGTTAACATAATTGTAATGGGCGTGTATAGGTCGGCAAGTACTTTGCCAACAAACTATACAATCGATACCAGCAACTCGCGAGCGGTGTGGCTATACGAGCAAAAAGTCTACTAAGTCAAGTTACTTGTTTTTTCAATAAAGAGTAACGATCGTTATCGGTGTAACGGTCGCGAAGGAACGTAACTCGATACCGTGATAGTTATTCAAAATTTCTGATGACGCAAACCGAGTTCTGAACTCAGCGGCATGAAATTATCCAACATTCAACATCTATTAATATTTTCATGCATTTTCATTTCTTTCTTCAGCCGACTAATCGATTTCTCAATTTCTAGCTCTTAGTAGGCGTTAACTTCCCCGAATAGAAACTGCATGAAATATGAAAATTGCCTTTAGAAGTTCTTAACATTAGGTGCAATACACGTGTGATGTGCAGTTCATAAGATAAGAAATGTAAAAAGGTACCAAAATTTGGTACAATCGTAATTTTATAAAACTGATTTACATTTACTAAGAACAATAAATAAATAAAATACATTCCATAGAATATATGATTACCAATATGACGAAAGATTTTTAGTATAAGAGTTATTAGAATTCAATTAAAAATATCAATTTTGTCTGTACATATGTCGAATGACCCATTAAGGTTCTTATAACGCGCTAGAGGACTTTTTTAGAATGAGTCGTCATTTTCCCGATATAGAAGTTCGAAGTTTCAGTTATATAAAACACATTAAATACATGAAAATGAAATTCCTATTTTGTTTACAATTTATTTCAATTTAATGAAATTTTGACAATGCAGATAATTCCTAGAAATGTTCATGCTTGATTTTAAAATCATTATAAAATAAAATAACAATTGATTACGCGATAACAATAGTGCCAAATTGAAGAAGACAAATAAAAAGTGTTTACATATTTATTAGTATTTTATATAATTATAAAAAGTAAACAAAAAGTGAACAAAAAGTACAACCGAATAGAACGGAATTAAATACACTAGACCTCAAACACGAATATCTGAAAAACCCTATTAGAGCTTTGCAGCAGTAGATATGTACATATGCAATGTTCCCGATAATCACAATACAATTGTTACGGAGATGATTTCTATGTAAAAAAATGAATCGAAAAAACATAAAATACAATTTTTTTATAGCTCGCGTCGTTTCGGAGAAAATGAAATTTAAAAGTATTTGACAAATTTTATTCTGTACTTTCGTCCTATTTTTCCACGTAGAATCACCATTATGCCGATTTTGCTATGATTACTGGAACACACTATATAATATATTGGGATACTAATATCCCAAATTTCGAAAAAGGATCTCCACATTCATGGCTTGACTTCCTCTCGTTAAAACCTTGTCGATCAAGGCACTTTCGTCCGCGCAACGCCTCGAAATGGAAAGTAACCCGTTAACGTGTAACGGACAGAAACACACTCACATACACACGAAAGGTGCGCGCTTCATTTCTCGTACATCAGACGTGACTAATGCGGTAACGTCAACACCCAGACATTGGCTTAGGTTCATACACCTTGAAAAACCGTTTGATCTCGAGAAAAAAATGCAGATATTCCCGTCGGAACGTGATTCATCTTCCGGCCAGTCTACGAGTCGCTTTGTATGTAACAATAGTTGACTATACACGCTGGCTATACAAGAAACATTGGTACATTAATGTATTTAATATAGTAGCTAGACTGTAGATATTTATGTAAATTCATATTCTTATAAATATAATTGGGGAATATGTACGTTACCTAACCTACAATAATACAACAAAATATTCTAATGAATATATAATAAATTATGATATAGCTTCAACATTTAAATTAAGACAAAAACAAAATATACATGCACAAACTATAGAAAAGATTGAGATAAAAAACACTGATTCTCAATACAATAAAGAAATACATATATATGCAAATTAATTAAAGGAATGAAACTTGTGTAGAAAATTGCTTAACCTACTTTAGTAAATATTATAGAGAGTATTATACTTTAAATATTTTATATACTTTTACAAATTATGTCCACTCTGTGGATTTTTGCACCTTCAAATTTCTAATAAATGTATAAAAATCAATTGAGATTATAGTGGTATAATGTATAGTAATGGTAGATTATAATGGTATTTTCGTACAGCTACAAATATGCTTTCTTGGGAAAGAAAGATATGTGCCAATACTTTTTGTGGCTACTGTACGTCTCACTGATACTCCTCCATGCGAGGACTAATGTTTTCAGAACAAGGTCCTATCCGAGGACCTATCCTCTCACTTTTTTCATGTAACGGAATTGTTCGAAATGCTGAGAATCCAAAACAGTTATATTTAGCTATATCTAATTATAATAATTATATATATTGTATATCTATATATAGCGTAATTATATCTCGATTAAGTCATACGAACATTGAGAATTTTTATACAAATTCATATTTTTGAGAGTATATTTGAAAAAGTCGAAAATTGTTTCACCTACCAAATACATATTGTACAAAACACTATATTATATCTTATATATTTCCTCATATTATGCGCGTTCTACGAATTCTGCATTTTCAAATTTCCCATAAATTTAAATTCTTCATAACATTCCATTTTCTTAAATACATAAAAATTCACAGCCTAGTTATATGTCATGATATAACGAGCAAAACATTGCGGACTATTTGCATTGAAAATTTGGCTAAAAGTCGATTTCGAAATTTATGCAGATAATGAACCGCAGAAAGTTTGGATTTCTAAAATAGGTTATGTATATGTAAAGCAACATATTAGCGACTTGTTTGCTTGCAGGTGCATGATTAAGCTTGAAACGACTCTCAAGGGGTGTAACCTAATGTACAGCTTAAACTACATCCATTCAGGGCCCTTATTCCTGTATTAGCTATCTATTTCTGGTAATTGATATTTTAAAATGGGCCATAATTTGACAATATTTATTGAAAATACAGCGTTCCAACTAGGACCACGCGGAAAAACTTAGCATATGTTAATAATTTTTGTGAACATGCCAAGACAATTATTTGCAATAGGAAGGCCAAAAAAATATCTAATCTATAGACCTAATTGAAATACATTCTAATCAAATTAATAAACAGATAGCGTGTACAGGATATAAGAAATAAATTTTCAAACTAAAAAATATTTCCTCGTAAAAATTAGCAGTATAGTTAGTAGTTAATTCGTTCTTAATCCACGCGTATTCGGCCCTAGAATATACTATACCGTAACTTTTGATTTTTGTAAAATATCATATTTGTACACTTTTCTCTGACAATTCACTAAAAATTTCTTAGTCCATGAAACTTATTAACGTTATCTAAATCACTCACACCATTGACAGTTTTTTAGACTATGAAATTTATCAGTGTTGTCTAAATCATTCATACTATTGACAATTTATTAATTCACGAAGTTTATCTTATTCTAATCGGTCTAAAAAATTTAGTAACGTAAGCGATCGACGACCATCGTGACGCTAAACGTGCTAAACGAATATGTACCATTCGTCACCGTGAAAACCCTATGTAAAATCACCTCGACTAAATCCGATTCACCTAAGACCTAGAACATTAATCCCATCCTTTCAATGCAAATAACTAGAGCGTGGATATTTACGCAAATTCATATTCCTATGAATATAATTTCAAACACAAAACCTAAACTGAAATGTCTTACTTACTGAATATCGTAACAGATGCCCTTTGCCTATTTCATACAGTGACATGTAAAGATCTTCGATCAGAATGAATTTTCAATTCTATATTCAAAAAGTAATTTTAAGCAAATTGGTAAAAGAAGGTATTATAATACACAAGTACCATTATATAGTTATGCAATATTACTTAACAGTTTTTTAAAATATCGCTTTTGAAATACCAAGTGAAAGATCTATCTGTTCGGAAACTTCTACACGCCCCAGTATATTTTTGCCTACGATATACATTCTGTACATTCTTCAACTTCCAAATGTCCCATAAATACATAGAATTCCTTAATCTACAAACACATAATTGTGTCTTCGGAGAACTTACATTCGAGATGCTTCTTTTTGGGTCCTATCATCTCCTCGGTAGTAGCTTTGCAGACAGCCTTAGCGAGACCCTGACCGGCGATGCTGTGCCTGGCTGCCAATAGCCTGTCGTTGATCGTCTGTCCCGCCATACTGTCCCTGTACTTCTGTCACACTCGAACTTTTTTTCCTCTAAAGCTCACGCACCTTTCGACTCTCTAACTACTCTCCTTTTCTGTCTCTCGTGTCGTACTATCTATCACAGTCAGGAACAGTTCTGCAGCCTCGACGATAGTGTCACACGCACACCACCACAAACTGGCGTTTCAACCGACACGAGAGTAAAACCTACTCGAGAGCACCAACAGGGAATGAAGAGTTATGTGTAGAACGATATACGTAAAGATTGCGAATATACATGCGTGGAGCCGGTTCCCGTTGGTTCAAGTAGTATTTCCCTCGATTTCGCGACCAACCGGCCTGGTCTCTGCTTTTTGGTGTCGCGAATTCGATCGAGCCGAATGAGCTCTCTCGCGCGCGCGTAAAGGGCTCAGCTGGGCGAACGACAGCTCGGCTCACGGCGACGACAGAAGGCTCTCACAACCTGCCAAAATGGCGACCCGGACCTCCTACTCCTTCGCCGGACCGATCACTCCTGACAGCCAATCCTACTCCTTCTCCGCGAACACGGCCTACTACCTCTGACGTCATACTGCGCTAGTCAAATCAACTTCCGTGAACATATACAACACTGCTTTGATAACTGGCCGCAGCTTGAGACGGAATTTGGTCAGATATTGAAGCATCTGTTTGAATTGAGAAACAAGATTGAGCTTTTCATTAACTTCATAATGCTCGTGCTTGTATGAAATATGGACACAGCTAACCAATTATTTTTTCGTATTAATTAACAATCACATTTACGTATTTATTAAAAACGCTTTTCTTTACTTTTTACGTCCTACCTAGCATTTTACATCTAATTGTATTAAAAATACAAAATATAGCATTAGAATTACAAAAAGTATGTTGTTACAAAACCAAAACACAATTCTGTCAAAAAATTTATGTATTTTTAATCGATTTTAACGCATCCATTCTAATCATAACCTTAAATATTTCATTCATTCAGAGCATACATTCATTATAACAATAGCTTACGAGATTCTACATCAATATAAAATTGATAAAAAGATAGAAGTATCTGATTTCAGATATCTTATTTAAGATATCCGATATAAATTTATGTTTAAGTTGATTGTCGGTATTGGAAATGAGATGGAAATGGAAAAAACTGCGAACATGTGGTAGGGATAGTAGTAGTCAGTTTACAAGGCAGGATTCTGGCCACTTAATGAGGGAGTGCTATGGTGCGAAATTTTGATGAAAAGATATCTTTAACTAGAATGTTAAATATTTTAGATATTTATAGAATATTATGGTTGATTTATTTTTTCGATCAATTTTGTTATTTTTAATATTGTATAATTTGAATAATACATTATTTTGATGACAGTTATACATAAAATGAGAGATGTTATTCTTATTTGGAAATAGTTGCAGAATTTTACAAGGACGATGAAGAAAGAATAGTAAAAAAATTGTTAATTAAAATATCGATCGAAAAGGGAGTCTCCGTAACAAGTTCAAAATCGATAACAACGCTTCAATCCCTGCGCACGCATATTTCATGCCAAGTAAACCATCTAATGTATATCATACCAATGATTAGATTGCAATAATATTGTCCTTTGTTCTAAATATTTCGACAATCTTTATATCTGTATAATTTGATGATGCATTTTAGCAAACTAAACATTTAAATATGCGAGAGAAATTTCGACACGTTCTAGAGAGAAAATGTCACTAGACTATTTAATCCTGCATTACCATAATTCTTCACGACCACAGCTAAATTTTTAAATAAATGATGATTTATCTGGAAAATAGATATTTGAAAATATCTCAATGAATTTTTTCAGAATTTTTCACACGACTTATATACACATTTTTTGAACATTCAATTTCATAATCCTAAATTATATATTTGAAATAACGTTCGTTAGAAATCTATTATTAATCTGCAATTATACAAATTGTAAATTAATTAAGAAATCTATAGCTACAGAATATAGATTCTTAATTATTGTCCTAGCCTCTGTCTTAGCTTGTTCAACGCTTCTTAATTTAATTAAATTTTAAATTTGAGGGACTTTAATGCAAGTAATGTTGGTATGTCTTAGCACATTGTGACAAAGTGACAATATAGCACTGTGCTGAAAATTGAAAGATCCACGAATCAATTCGAACCGGTTCTAACCACAAAAATTTTCTTTAAAAATGCGTACGTATAAATTTATAAAGCACTATACTTCAAAACATTTATAGAAATCTTTTTTGCGTAATATATTGATAAGATATATAGAAATATTAAGAGAAATAGTATACTAGACTTTCTGATTAGTTAATATTATAGTCACATTTCTATCCCAATTCTTCTAACGTAAATTAATTTTGTTCAAAATAACGATTTAAGTAAATGAAATATGGAAACAATATATTTCTTTTACTTTTCGTTTATATATATTTATATATTTCGTTTTCTTTTACTTTCCAGCTGTTAGTAGCGGAGTATCGTTTGTGTTGTCATCTATTTTAACAGTTCTCGTATTTTCGGGAATGCAAATATATAAAGCTTCTCTGGCATCGTCACAGGTTTATACAATATTGGGAGGATATATTGGATCTATATTGTTTTTGTGTGTATTAACTGCAATAGGAAACTTGGAAGCAACAATATTTGGCAAATCTTTTCAACAAAAATTGTTTCCTGAAGGTATGTTACTTGATGTTGATATTAAAAGATCAAATATCACTAATTCAAGATAATAATCAAATTTTCTTGTTACAGTTATCTTTTCATTGATAATCAGTTTAATTGCATCAGGTCTAGTACATCGTGTGGCAATTACAACGTGCTTCCTGTTTTCTATGGTTGCATTATACTATATCAATCGAATTTCTCAAGAAACATATGCTGTTCCAGTACCTACAGTCTCAGTTCACACAAAGAAAAGAAAGTAAAAGAATCACTGAAACTCAAAGTAATTTATCAATCATTACACTACTGCACTTTTAAAAAATTAATTATTCTTGTAACTATTTTAACTTATGAATCTTTGCATAAAATTGTTTTGTTATTATTGACTCATAATTAATTATTTCCCCCATCTCTATAAGCACAGAACTGCAAAAGATACATAGTAAAAATCAAAATATATTTATGTTATGTATAAATATTTTACAATACTTTAGGATTTTGCTTTATTTTGCTGCTTCTGTGCTTCTCTGCTTCTTCTTTGTCACTGAAATATTCGAAAGATTCGTCTGAGTCATCAACACTGAGAGCATCTTTGTTCTCTTTTGCATCAGGATTATCTAAAGTAGGCTGAGACATAACTTGTTTATAAATCGTCATTGCCTAGAAGATAAAGTAATCATATACAACAATTTACAATCTGCAAAGTAATTACACAGGGACAAATTTTTGAGTGACATACTTGTGTTACTAAGGAAGACACATCAGAAACATTACTGGGCAAGATCAAAGTATTGTTGACCTTTGCCAATTTGTTGAATGCTTTGACATATTGTTCTGCTATACTATATGCTGCTGCATTTTTTGCATCTGTCATATTGAGAGCATTTGCCACAAGTTTTAAACTCTTTGCACGTGCTTCTGCAATGGCCACTAAAGCCTGTGCAGTACCAACCGCCTTATTTATTTCTTCTTGTTTTATAGCCTCTGTTAGGGTATTGTGTAAGTTATTTATAATTTTTTAAACATAACAGATTGTTGACTAAAAACACGATTACGATTACCGGATGCTAGAATCTGCGCTAAACGTTTTCCTTCTGCTATATTTATTTCTGCTTCTCTAGTTCCTTCTGATTCTAAAACTGCAGCTCTCTTCTTGCGTTCTGCTTCCACTTGCATTTGCATTGCTTCTTGTACTCTCTGAGGTAGTCTTATGTCACCTGTTACAAGAAATTCAAGTGACAATAACTTTTTATATCAAATGAGAAAGTTTCTTCAATTAGCCTTACGTATTTCATATCTTAGACAAGCTATTCCCCAAGCTTCACTTGCTTTATTTATACTCTCAACGATACAAACATTGAGCCCTTCTCTTTCTCTGAATACATTATCCAAAGGTATTTTTCCTAGCTCAGATCTCATTGTAGTTTGAGCTATTTGAACTACGGCAAACTCAGGATCATCAACACCATATGAAGCCAGAAATGGATTAACTACTCTTAAGTATAATACACCATCAATATTTAATGTTACATTATCTACAATAAAAGAACAATATAATTAATACCATTTTATATCTGTAATATTTAAACATATAATTGAATGTACCTGAGGTAACAGCACTTTGTTGAGGTATTTCTATAGCTATTTCTTTGAGACACTGAACATATTTAATTCTATCAATTATTGGTGTAAGAATGTTTAACCCTGGGTTTAGAATCCTATGAAACTTTCCCATTCTTTCAACAATCCATGCCTAAAAAGATTTATTAAAAGAAATTTGAAATGAATTCTCAATTGGTAAAAGATAATAATAATAAGATAATAATAATGATTCTAAACCTCTTGTTGTGGAACAAATAGTATAATGGTATTCATTGGAGTGTTAGATTTACATCTAACATGTTGTATTATCGGCAGTTTAGCAACATGATGTTCAAATCCAAGAGCTGGTTGATGCTTTAAATAAAATTTTGGTTATATTGCAAAAGATTGCAAAGATAGATTTTAGGAATAATGTTTTAAGAAATGAGATTACCTTTAATATTCCAAAATTACGAGCAAGCTGTTTAAATTGGCAGTTTAATGCCCACTTGTACGTTCGCAACAACATTGTACTGACAGATACAAGAGATGTTTTCCAATACTGTATTAGGTTAGATTCACGCGTTTAAACTACGTAATACCATATCTTTGTAAACGGAAATTTTAACAGAAAAGGAACGTTGAACAAACGTCCACTTGGATATTTCCATACAATACCCGAGTAATCGCAAAAAAGATGTTTTCAATCATAAACCATGATATTTCATTCTTCGCATTCCCAAATTTGATAAAACACCGAGATGTTCAACGCAACTGAGCGGAGCTATACAAGATGTCCCGATAATCATGATACAATCGACAAGACAAAAATATAGAGTAACGTGTTTCATATGACCCTTTTTTCTTCTTTCATTTAATCTTTTTTTTCCAGAAAATTGAATTTGGAAATTGATCGAATACAATTAAACTTAGCTAAAGAATACATTTCTTCAACCTGTAAGCAATATTTCAATCTTAATTATTTCTTGAAAAACATCATATACCTAGTTTTACTCACGCTACCAATAATTTAGAACTATTCAAATTTTTGAATTTTTTATTCTTGAATATTCAATAATTCATGAATTAATCGTGAATATACTTGACTCTTTAAAAAACCGCACAATCTAGCAAATATCTTTTAATCTAAAGATTAAATTTTTATATTTAGTAATAATTATTAAATATTAAAATACTAAAATATTTTCTCATTTCATTTGAATATTTATCAATAATAGTTATTATTATGTAATTTATTTACATATCATTCATTTCATGTTCCACAAGATTATTAAGTTATCGTAACAAAATATTCATTTAAATATTCAAATAGCGTTTGTAGTGCTCTAAAATGAGAATGATAAAATGCTGTTTGTGTAATGCTACAATTATATATCACTGTGAAATTATAAACGAGGAAGTTCATCTTATTTTTTTGTGCAGTATAGTCATATACTCTATAATAAGAAGAATAAAAAGTAGAGAAAAGTTATATTCACAGACGAAAAGAGATTTAACTTACATGGTCCAGATGACCTCGATTTTTATTATCATATCAAAAGTGCCTTGAAGAAGAATGGAACAATATATTCACAGGGTTATATTTGAAAACTGTATCATTCGTTGCCAAAACGGATATTATAGATAGCAGATCGGATCGACGCATTATTAAATAATAAATTGCACTCTATCTTTTGTTCGATTTAATAGATAACGAATATTATAACTTTGAAACTGTGCTCTCATTCCGCTGACTCTATTTGATACAGGTTGCTAATAAATATGAAAGTCGATAATAAAATATTTACTTTACCTATAGGTATTATATTGCTATAAAGTACTTTTCACATATCATTCGGCAGATTTGGGGAATTCTGATTCTAGAATAAACCTTTCTTCATTTCAATTTTGTTGTAGCAATTACTAGTATTACTGTGCTTCAACTATTGTACAATTATTGTATTCCAGTCAGGCATAATAATAGAGTATTTTATCAAATATAATTTATAAGTAGCCATAACACTTTTATATCCAATAACCTTACAATAAATTATTTCCTTCCATTTAGTTAAATCGAATAAGAAAATTGAATCATCCTTCATAATACATTTATTATCGAATTACACAAAACTTAAAACCTTGTAACGATAAAATATCGAGATTTACGCCATCTTGATCGATTCGATATATTTCAAATTACAAAAAGACTTTAATTTGATTGTTCTTTAATTTCTATATATCTCATGTAATTTATTACGAATCGCTTTAATTGGATTCAGAAGACGATACTTAGATATAAATAAATATATATTTATATGTAAATATCTTTCATAATACCAATTTTTGATAATACATATATTTATTATCTATCATGCAAGGTCGAAAGTTTTCAAACAGTGTAATCGAGAGTTACGTCATCTGACTGATTCGATACATTTTAAATTACGAAAGAACCACGTTATTCGTTAGTTTTTATTATATATTTTTAATATAATTCATTTGATTTACTAAAATTTATTTTAATCTTAAAGTATTAACATGCAAAATTTAGTAAAAGAGAAAACTTTGTGATTCATGAAAATTTGAACACTTGGTATGGAAAACTTTGAACACTTTAGTATAACATATTTAGTAGGGTGTGTATGTGATATCAAGTGTTATGTAAAACATTTTGAAATTTTATTAGCACTATGATGAGACAGTCTTCGGCGTTTTTTGTTATTCCTCTTTAATATGAAAATTAGGGGTAGTATTTGAACAATACAAATGCCACATTGATCAATTTCATAAACTGAATCATGTAGAAATTACTATAATTAGATGTATAATGTTCTAGAAAAATTACGACGTAAAGTTAAAATCTAACTCGAAAAAAGACATGTCGTATGTATTAACCTAGTATGTACATTGTTAGATTCGGTTCAAACTTTACCAATATAATCACGATAGTTGTGTTTCGTTATAGTAACGAAATTTCAAATTGTTTTATATAATATACGCATAAAATGTCTTTAAAAGTGTTTGAGTACTTTCGTGAGCCACTGTACACTCAAGAAATATATTCATGATTATATTCGCAAAAGATTTATATAAATGTTTACATACTTTACTGAGCAACTGTTAGATTACAAAAAACTCCATCTACTTGACGTATCTTCATATTGCCCGCGGCATGACAGTGTTAGAAACATGTCTGTTCTAGGGTTAAAAGAAAAGGACCTAACCTCTATTGGTCACCGTAAGCTATTGTTACAAGATCAACCAATAGGAAACGATGTTGTTCACGCGGAGAGAAATAATGCAGCAGTTGGGGGAACAGTCTACTGTGGCAATTGTATGGTAACTGACAGTTCAGTGGAAAATATCGTGTATGTAGGTGCATGTCATTATTCAGATCGAAAAATTACGGTTTAATTGAAAATGTCATCTCCTGCACAAGTGGTAAGCAATATTTTTTCTTATTGATTTTTCAATTCCAAATAATCTTTCCAACAGTCTTTGTTGAATTTATATATTTTTCTTGTTATCCACATTTTGACAGTTCTCAGATGCAGGTTCGTTATTTTCTCCTTCGTAGAACAAAGACCTCGAAAGATTCTTCTTCCTTTTTATTATGGTAAAATACAGAAACTCAAAAATTACAAAAGAACATTCCATTGAACAGCTGTTCTCTTTGTTTTGAACAAGCGCTACCTTTTTTGCGTTCAGCGCTGACTGACTTTCGTTTTTGTTTACGGGCTATTAATAACTAATGTTGGTAGTATTGCCTGAGTCAGTTTGTTTTTACGTTTATTTCCGCCAGCTGGCAATAAGAACATAAAGGATTCGTTCGTTTTTCTTCGTTTCAAATCGATCTATTACTTTTCGTTGTCAGTTTTTTGTTATAGGAAGTACGACGTTTTAAATAGTCTTAAAGTCTTAACGCGATATACCGTATAATCTAATTAGTGAAGTATACATTGTTGCAACTATATGAATTAAATTTGCTCTTATTGATATGAAAATTAAGTGCCACTGAATACTCTTTAACTATCCTGACTAAGTTACTCTGCAATCTTCCACTGATTCTATAATTGATCAATTAACATTATAAAGTAACGTTATACAGTACATGTAATGTTTTATTGAAATATATTTTTGTCCCAGACAAAGAATAAAATCAGTCCTTGAAAATTAATTCCTTCCAATTCTGCATTCTATTCAAATCATCATTTAAATTGACTGTTTTATTGGAATTATATCATTGGAATTTTTATAACTTCCAATTATTTGCATATAGTACCAAGTTTAAAGTGCATAGAACTATTCTTTGGTTTATCTTTATCGTGATAATCTAGTTTGTCTTTCATGAGTTTTAAACTCAAACAAATATTATGATTGCACAAGGGTATAGAGCAACAATTAACAAACCATTATGTTCCTACATTATGATAATGTACTATTCTATTATCTTATCTTTTGTATCTGTTTATCTTTCCTTTCTTTCATTCTTCATGCCCCATACAAGATATGTGTATCTTAAAACTATTAACTTTTCTTTTCAAACATTTTACATAACTTCTTAAACTTTTTTATAATAACAAACACCCATTACACACGCATAAATAACTTACAATTAGACGCATTAACAAAATTATTCTTCCCTAACACTCTGTTTGCTGAGACTGGTTCAATGAGTAAAATAATAAATGTGTCATATTAAGCATAATTTATACATATAACATATAAAATCGATGACGCACCGCATGCGTTTCGGAAAAATTTGGTATATATAACTATCTTGCGAAATAAGTTATGTTTATGAAAATATATGTTAATTATGTCGCAAAATAAAACTAACTGTGAGATATTTAATATCAAAGGGAAACAAAGAAAAGAAAGATTTAAATTAATTAAAATTCATTAATTTTTTGTTAGACGCTATATAATAAAATCGTACAAAAGTAAAATACGTAGATTGCGGATTTCTATGCAAATTCATATCTTTATGAACATAATATTTCGTATAATATTACAAATATAATTTAAAAAATGGAACCTAGATAGAAAATTGTTTTACCTATTAAATATTATAGACTCCCATACCTGAATATTTTTAAATTTTTGTAAATTATTTTGCATTTTCGAATTTCCTATAAATACATAAAAATCCGTATTCTAAAAATAAAAATAATGAGAACAATTAAGGGGAATAAAAAATAAAACAAAAAGAAAAGATTAGTAGTTGATAACGAGAGCATTCAAATGGATTAACACGTTTACTGTTACAGTGATCATCAAATTCTTTAACATGATTAAAAAAAAATTTTTTCCGCACTAAGCGATTTTCAATAATGTGAATAACTTAGATTAAGTTATGCGCAATTGCGCATAATAAAAATGCGGAAGAATATAATGCAAAAATTCAATATTACGGTGAAGTATATTTCATTCTCTTTTCCAGGGTAAAATATAGAAAGTTCGTGTGTCAGTGAACGTGTTAAGAAAAGATCGTTATTGTTAGTACAGTAGCGTTTCGGTTAAGAAGGTGTCAGTCACGTTCATGGTCGGCCATTCGATTCCGATTTCATGTTTTGTCTGTTCCAGTTAAAAAGTGTCGGCCCAAAGCTAGTCCCATTCTTTAAAAGCGTGTCCGTGTATTTTATATTACTGGCCGAGCAGCCGTCCCTGCTGACGGCATGTTTCAAGTGTTTGCCAATTATAAGTCTTATCGTCTTTGTTCTTCTACATGGAATTAGTTTATCGCAGGAGTAAGTGCGACAGAATTTTGCATGTGCCGATCCTTTTTGTCTCACGCCTCTTGTTCTGCAACTCAATAACACTCTATTAAATGGTTGTTTCAATTTTTATTTCAAATTATTATTTTAGTTATTTCAAATTAATATACGAGCATTGAAAAATTTGAAGAAAAAGTAAAGAGAAAGCAATGAAAATGAGAAATCGCACCAGTAGTGTCACTAGCGCCCCATGCATTTTGGAGATAAAATCGAGAAGTATTAACCGGGGGTAATTTATCGACCTCCGTGTTTCCGTTTTTATTATCAACTTAACGACGCAACGTAGTTATTACCGTTTACAGTGGCTCATTAAAGCACTTCAACATTTAACACGGGCAATTTTTATGTATATATTAGTATGATACGACTATCATGATTATATCGATAAAATACCAATCTGAAAATATATATATTAATGATGGGTGAACAAAAAGATATAAGTTAAATTTTAGCCAAACCAGGATAAGTATGTCCTTTATTCGTGGTCTGTGGTTAATTCGAATCATTTTTGTAAAACTCAATTGTGTCAGATACTGGTTGATCAAATAAATATAAGTCAAACTGAAGATTTGGCTCAAAATAACATAGATCATCAATTTCGAAGAAAGGAAAATGTTTCTAAATCTAAATGAACATAACAAATGTTTTGTAAGTGCAATGGAATGAAACATATTCTAACAGTTGATCTTACATCGTACTTTAAATATTGTTAGTAGTTCTCTGCAAAACTAATAATTCTGATTTAATACTCTTTTGTCTGTATAAATATATGATACACTATAATATATATAGTATATAGTATAATAGTTACAAGATATTTTGTACTTGCATTAAATATTTTGTAGCTTCCATTTTTAAATTCGGCTGAAATTTTACCAATATAATCATGGTAGCCACGATTCATTATGGTGGTAATAAAATCCGAAAATGTTTAGAAAACGTGTGTAATATATAACGCGCATAATATATTCATACAGAATGTTTATAGATATTT